TAACCTCAAGGGGATCGCTCGCGAAGTCAGCGAGCAACGTGCGTGGCGTGGCGGCAGCGTGCAGAGGTTTGTGCCGCTGGCGCGAGTCCGGCAGCCGACACGACCTCCAGCCGGCGCCGGCGCTGGCCCTCGCTCCAGAGGGGCACCGGGCTTATCGCTGGCGGCATCCATCGCGCACGGCAACCATGGACGACGCAGGAGTCGGACGGCGGCCTCACAGGGTGGGAGGGCAGGGGGCCGCAGCAGGACACGCACGTTGCGCATGGGGTGCGCCCGGTCGCTGCACCTTGCTTAGGCTGGCGGGATTCAGGGGGGGATGCCGTTGTCCAGGACCCTACCGGCCACGCCCTCACCGATAAAAGCATGTCAGAGGGAAGCCGTGGGCATTCCCAGGGAAGTCGCACCAACCCGTTCTGGCTGGTGGAGCTCTCCCTGCCATGTGGCAACCACTCCGTACTGTACGGGGCAGCACAGCGGCTTGCAAGCATGCTCCAGAGCCTCATCCCACCCCCACGCACTGCTTGTTTCAGTCTGCACATTACGCAGTTTACAAAAGCATAGAGGGAAAGCAAACTCGGAACGAATGCAAGGGGAGCGAGTCAGCAGGTCTTGTGAAGCGAGGTGGCTCCCAGCAGCCCGGTAGAAGCGATGCAAATCTGAGCTGGAATCTGTGCCAGCTGCAAGATGGATCATATCATTGGAGTGGCTATGGCAAACAGCATCGGGATCAGTCCCATGAAGAAGACCAGTATGGTCGTGCCTGCTCTGGAGGTGTGCCGTTCATAGGAAATCACACCTTCCTCTTCCTGGGCAATGACAGTAGTGCTGATGGGCAAGCCTCACAAGTGACGGGGCCACCCTGTCCAGCGCCAAGGTAGAAAATTCGAACGAATGGTGGGTGCAAGGCACGGTGAGACTCCACGGGTGACAGGTTTCAGGTGCAGAAGCGGCTGTCAGACTCAAGAAGATGCAACACTGTGATTCTACTATTGGTGTTCGACCCATGGGCTGGGGAAGGGCCCCTCAAAGTGGAAGTATACAAAATACATCTGCTGGAGCATTAAAGGTGCCTCATATAGAATTGGGGGACGATCTCCTTGCTGGAGGAGGCGACGAGCCTGCCTGGGGAGGTGGCGGGGATCTCCTTGCAGATGGCACAGGCAGCTTCTTCCTTGAAGGTGGGGGGGGGAATTTATGGGCTGGAGGCAACCTCTTGGTCGGAGGCGGAGGTGACGGCTTGTGAGAAGGGGGTGGCGGCTTCTTGACAGGCGGCGGAGGTGACGGCTTGTGAGAGGGGGGTGGTGGCTTCCTGCTTGGGGGAGGTGGTGATCGCCTAGGTGAGGGCGGCGGCGGCTTCTTGGCGGGAGGCGAGGGTGGTGGCGGCTTCTTGGCGGGAGGATGGTGGTGGTGGGGACGATGGTGGCGGGGGGGACGGCGGGGGCGGTGGGCTGATATTCAGAGTCTCATCCGTTCTCAGGAAGGATTGAGGGCAGTCATCCTTTTTTGCGTAGTTGCAGATTAACTTATTACCCACAAGCCAGCTTCCTAGGTTGTCTGATCCGGTATTATGGTTGCCTGTGGATCAGTGGTTGCACCAAGGCTGTCAGTGGCTGCACATGGAGTCTACAGCAGCAGGCGCAGCTGCCCGCCCGTCCAGCTTACCTATGTTACTGTTGCCAATATTATAATTACCATAATTATTTTTCCCGACGTTTCCGGTTCCAACATTGCCGTCCTTGTTTGCTTGGCACTGCGGCACACCCGTGGGCATGCACTGGACCATGCCAACAACTTGGCATGAATGGGCTCCTTGAGGGATGCACGGCTCAAGGGCTTCAATATCCATCGTAAATACTCTGTAGTCGTCAAAGGGCCAATGCTCGTACATTTTATAGGCGTAAGGAACATGAGCTCCACCTCCATACCCCTTCAGCCTGGGTGCAGGTGGGAGCCGGCACATGAGGGTGGGGATCGGCTGCTCAACCCCATGGCCAGCAACTTGCTGCCCTGCCCAGGATCCACAAGGACGACTGGAATAAAGATGGAGGAATCTCATGTGACACCCCATCTCTGGTTTGGTCTCACCGGCAGAATGTGACGGCAGACTTTGGGTCCAGCAGGTACACGAGGCTAGCGAACCTGTGGGTCGAGGGTACAGCGCAGAGGATGAGGGGTGGGAATGTCCGCGACGCAGCGATGGGGCGCAGAAACTGCTGCAAACCCCCTCTTCTGCCCCACTCACTCGACTGTGGGGAGCGCAAAGAAGCCGATGCCGGGATCACAGCCGCCCTCCCCGGGAGGGGGTGAGGGGAAGGGGGGGGGTGAGGATGGCGGGGGGGAGGGGGGCCTGGGCACCACCACTGCTGTCTCCGATGTATGGAGGTCCGCGATGGTGCACGGCGAATCGCCACGCTTGTTGTTGCATATGATGGACTCCCCAGTGTTGTTGTTCCCGACGTTGGAGTTGCCAATGTTGCCATTCCCTGCACGCCGGTGGGAAGAGTGCTCGCTCACACACTGCACACCGGTGAGAAGAGTGCTCGCTCACACACAGCTGGTCGGGGTGCGGTGCAACATGCAAGGCGACCCCAGCGCACCCTCGTTGTCATCGCCCAGGTTGTAGTTTCCGTAATTGTTGAAGCCGTTGTTCCCGGTGCCGATGGTTGCCCAGAAGGGAGTGTACCAGGACTCACACCTCTCCACTCCTTCCGGCAGGCACTCGATTATCCTGATGTAGGTGCAGCTGCAATCATAACGATCACATGGGACGCACACATCCCAGCTGTCGATGTCCAAGGTACTGATCTCGGCATTGGGAAAGGGATAACTGCGAGATACAACCTCCGTGAAGAGAAAAGCATGGGACTCGTAGCCCTTGAGCCTGAGGGTTTGAGAGTTGAGTAAGGAGCGGGGTCAACGTGTACGGATGCGGTGGGTCATTCCGGGCGTCTGGTCGCATCCAGGGATCCCACGGCGTGAAAGGCACCATGCAAGAGCACTCTCGCCGACTCACTTGCAGTATTCCGTGGGGGTTCTCCCGGAGGCGAGGAACAGCGTGCCATTGTACCTACACAATCAGGACCCTCACCATCATGGTCAGTGTGTGTAGCCTGTGACAAGGGATGTAACCATCCAGGATATAGTTCGGATGATATGCAGCACACTTGGCCTACTCACAGCACGGTGGGAAGGCTGAAGAACCCGATCCTGGGGTCGCAGTCCGCCTGGTTGGTGGTGGGAGGCAATTAGCATGTTAGAGAGATAGATCCGATGCGTAATGAGGCAAGAGCACCATTGTTACTCCCATGCACGGAGCAAAGCTTACCTGTACGACAATGGAGCTTTGCAGGAAAAGGACGAGCGCCAGAAAGACGGCAGGTAAATGCAGGAGCGCCCGCATGGCTCTGGATTAAAAAGCGCTATGCGTGAGCTGCGTTGTTATCGGAAGACAGGATATATGAGAACACACTTAAAATCTCCCATAGTAAGAGAAACGGCGAAGCAGTCACCTGAAGAACGCTAGGATCACAGCTCGCGTCTCCGTGTCCGTAAACAGAACCGGCCGACCGCGCACCGGACGTTGACACCTGTGCTATCCGGATGTACTGCGGATCATGAAGTAGGACTCCTTTGTGCTTTGGGCCATGCTTCCCATTTCTATTTAAAAGCCGTCCAAGCTCGTGCTGAAGCGCACTCCACCACCTGATTCTGCATGCTCTCTTGATTAATGTCCCTATTCCTATCCTCGTCTGCACAGCAAGTCGACAGCGGCATCTGGACAGGAACTTAATACCCGAGTCTCGCCTCGGTCAGGTGGATGATACCTCGCGCCTGCTCACTCCGGACCTGATCATTACACAGATACGTTCAAATCACCTCCATCTGGACTGAAAGGCCCCAGGGCAAAACTTGCGCCTGGCCACGAAGCCTGTATTTACCTCTTTATTTAAAGGGTCCTGAGCTGTCTGCTCAGCTAGACTCACAGGGAGACTGATAAAAGGGTGAGGAAATCCAGGTTGGCGGATGTGCTTGGCAGCAGACTCCCAAGATTAAGGCTGGTAAACCTCGAATGATGGACTCATTGGAGATGGTGCGGGTCGCATAATATCTGGGAGGAAGATATCTAGCGAGACTATTGCATCCTCAGCATTTTGTTGGTTACACACCAATTTAGGGGTTTCTGGGATCCAGACAGAAACGCTTCCTGCGTCGGGCCCAGCTTCTGGACCGACACATGGTGTAGTGCAAGAAACATGAAAATCCATATGTGCATCCTTAGAATCTCCATCGGCCTGCTCTTCCTATCAATCTTGTGACGCAAATACAACGAGGTAAAGAAACAATGGTTCATGGAGGTTACAGCTCTGTATGTATCGCCAATTTCCTGATGCACTGCAATGATGCTCCATCTGTCTCTGGAAGAAGGGAGTGGATCCCATCCAGGTGGAAGACTGCGTCTGATCATTGGAGTTGATAGGGAGGATGTCCATTGATTGCTCCGGGACCTCTCCACCAACGAGATTCAATCTTTCGTCGGAGAGCACCATGCAGGAGGGGACGGCCACCCTGCAATGGAATGCAGATTTCTCTATCATGGGCGTTGCGGGGATGTTTTCAACATAGTCGACGGGGGCTCCATTACTGGAGGAGATTTTGACCTCATCGCTGGAGGTGGAGGGGATATTTCGATGGTGAGTTATGGCAAATTTCTTTGCAGTGGGTGGAGGGTGTTCCTGCGGCCTGTGGGTGGCTAATTGGTTGGAGACCTGGGTGTCGACTTGCGAGAGGGGGGCGACGGCTTCTTGGTCGGAGGCGAGGGTGTCGGCTTACGAGATGGAGGTGGCGGCTTCTTGACAGGCGGCGGAGGTGACGGCTTGTGAGAGGGGGGTGGTGGCTTCCTGCTTGGGGGAGGTGGTGATCGCCTAGGTGAGGGCGGCGGCGGCTTCTTGGCGGGAGGCGAGGGTGGTGGCGGCTTCTTGGCGGGAGGCGAGGGTGGTGGCGGCTTCTTGGCGGGAGGCGAGGGTGGTGGCGGCTTCTTGGCGGGAGGCGAGGGTGGTGGCGGCTTCTTGGCGGGAGGCGAGGGTGGTGGCGGCTTCTTGGCGGGAGGCGAGGGTGGTGGCGGCTTCTTGGCGGGAGGCGAGGGTGGTGGCGGCTTCTTGGCGGGAGGCGAGGGTGGTGGCGGCTTCTTGGCGGGAGGCGAGGGTGGTGGCGGCTTCTTGGCGGGAGGCGAGGGTGGTGGCGGCTTCTTGGCGGGAGGCGAGGGTGGTGGCGGCTTCTTGGCGGGAGGCGAGGGTGGTGGCGGCTTCTTGGCGGGAGGCGAGGGTGGTGGCGGCTTCTTGGCGGGAGGCGAGGGTGGTGGCGGCTTCTTGGCGGGAGGCGAGGGTGGTGGCGGCTTCTTGGCGGGAGGCGAGGGTGGTGGCGGCTTCTTGGCGGGAGGCGAGGGTGGTGGCGGCTTCTTGGCGGGAGGCGAGGGTGGTGGCGGCTTCTTGGCGGGAGGCGAGGGTGGTGGCGGCTTCTTGGCGGGAGGCGAGGGTGGTGGCGGCTTCTTGGCGGGAGGCGAGGGTGGTGGCGGCTTCTTGGCGGGAGGCGAGGGTGGTGGCGGCTTCTTGGCGGGAGGCGAGGGTGGTGGCGGCTTCTTGGCGGGAGGCGAGGGTGGTGGCGGCTTCTTGGCGGGAGGCGAGGGTGGTGGCGGCTTCTTGGCGGGAGGCGAGGGTGGTGGCGGCTTCTTGGCGGGAGGCGAGGGTGGTGGCGGCTTCTTGGCGGGAGGCGAGGGTGGTGGCGGCTTCTTGGCGGGAGGCGAGGGTGGTGGCGGCTTCTTGGCGGGAGGCGAGGGTGGTGGCGGCTTCTTGGCGGGAGGCGAGGGTGGTGGCGGCTTCTTGGCGGGAGGCGAGGGTGGTGGCGGCTTCTTGGCGGGAGGCGAGGGTGGTGGCGGCTTCTTGGCGGGAGGCGAGGGTGGTGGCGGCTTCTTGGCGGGAGGCGAGGGTGGTGGCGGCTTCTTGGCGGGAGGCGAGGGTGGTGGCGGCTTCTTGGCGGGAGGCGAGGGTGGTGGCGGCTTCTTGGCGGGAGGCGAGGGTGGGGCGGCGGCGGCTTTTTGGCGGGAGGCGAGGGGGGTGGCGGCTTCTTGGCGGGAGGCGGGGGTGAAACCTTTGGAGAGGGAGGCGGTGGAGACTTTGTGGGAGGCGGCGGGGATGGCTTGGGGGAGGGAGGCGGCGGAGACTTTGTGGGAGGCGGCGGGGATGGCTTGGGGGAGGGGGGCGGTGGACTCACGACAGGGGCCGGGGATGGGATGGCGGGTGGTGGGCTAGGCATCCCTGCAGGTGATGGTGATGGTGGTGGGTGGGACACCGAGGGAGGCTCCACGGGAGGTGGCACCGGTGAAGGTGGAGGGGCCCCAGGATTAGGGGGGGAGGCTGGTGCTGGGGTTGGACTTGGTGCGGCTGGAGAGGGACTGATGGCCGTCGGAGGACTTGCCGGGGCAGGCGCGGGTGTGACTGGTGAGGGGTGTGGGGCAGGGGTAGGGGCTGGAGAAGGGCTGGCAGCAGGGGAGGGTGGAGGATGAGGGTACACGATCAGAGTATCTGATGTTTTCAATGCTGCTATGCTGCACTGGGCTTCGTCTTGAGCTACCAAGTTGTTGCAGACGATATTCGATCCCGTGTTCCCGCTCCCGATGTTGGAATCTCCTTTGTTCTGACTACCTGTATTGTGATGATGTGCTCGAGGCTCAGGCTGGGTCTGGCTGGAAAGGGGCGGAAGAAAGATGTCCCCCTGGTTCACTCACCTCTGTTGTTACTGCCTTGATTGTTGTGCCCGATGTTGTGAGACCCCACGTTGCCGTTGCCCAGGTTCCCATTCGCATCCTGTACGCATCTCGGCACGCCATTGGCGAGGCACTCGACCACAGTGAGGGCTGGGCAGTGATACGACTTGGTTGGGGTGCAGATCTCCAGCGTCTCAGGGTTGAGCGAGGCGATCTGGAACGGAGTGAAAGGAGCATCTGGGGCCACGTTGACCACCTCCCAATACCCTGCTCCTGTGTATCCCTTCCTCCTGCCATATGGAAGGGGGCGAAGGGGAAGCTGGGGTTGCAAGGGACAACAGGCAAAGCGTGGAGAAAGGAGGCCCATGCCCAACCTCAAGATGCAGTAGTCTGCCATCGTAACCGAGAACAGCACTGACAAGCTAGAGCATGGCCCCTAGACCGCATCTAGAGGCACCTACCGGCAGTATGAGTCCAAGCCTCCGGCAGAGACCAGATAGAGGGTGCCTAGGTACCTATTGCATTAGGGTTGTGGAGTTGCCACGGACTGCTCAATCAAGGGATGAGTTCCTCCCAGTACGTCAATCACTCCTGACAACTGCATGCTGTGCACTGCACCCCACCACACGAGGCGCCCACTCACTCTATTGTGGGCAGGGCCAGGATGGGGTTGCGGGGATCGCACACTTGTGAGGGGGGCGGGGATGGTGGGGGGGACGGTGGGGGTGGAGGGGTGACGTCCAGGGGGTCCC